GGCGGCGGGAGCGGGAGGCTGGGCGGCCGCCAGCAGCAGGGGCTGCGGGGAGGGGGCGCCGCACGAGGGGTGCATAGCAGAGGGCGAAGTCAGGATAGATGAGGTTTGCTGAAGCTTGAGAGGCGAGCAGCTTGCATTGTCTTGGTTGGCGGCGCAGCTGCAATCCTGTAAAGAGGGCACACATCTGGAGCCGCAGCCACTCGCGATCGCACGATTCAAGCACTCGCGGCGCAAGTCGGGGGCGTCCCGCCGGCGCCCCGACCGCCCAGCTGCCTGGGAAGTCAACAGGGGCCGCCGGCGGGCGGCCCGCAGATGATGATGCGAGTGCGCCGCCCTGCGCGCCCACCTCAAACATGGCGGCTCGCTGCGCGTCGGACGGCGCCCCGAGCTCGAACCGCGACGATGGCGGGAACAGCGCCAGCGCCTGCGCGAGGGCCGGCGGGTGCACAGCCAGGCGTCCCGGCTCGGCCGCAGGCGGGCAATCGCCATCGCTCGGCGCCAGCTGCGACGCCATCCCTCTGGCCGCACCAGTCCTGTCCCCCCTCAACTGACGGCCACGCCAGGGGTCCCAGCTGCCTCGTTTGAAACCGTCGACAGCAGATGACAAAACAAATAGTCAAACGCCAGCCCCCTTGGCCTGGCGTGCACCACCCAAGGGCCCACACGTCCACTTTCACTCAAACAGGAAAACTCGCCTCTGGGTCGACCTCGCCCGCGGGCGCGTCCGCTACCGCCACTAGCAGCAGCGGAAACTCCGGGGGCAGGTCCTCCACCAGCATCAACAGCGCCGCGCGCAGCGCCGCGGGCGCGGTGGCCCACCAGAGGGGGAGGTGCGGCAGGAAGAGCAGCGCGGGCGCGGCGCGGCGCGCCTCCACAAACGCGTGCACCAGGGCCTCCTCCAGGGACCTGGGGCGGTTGAAAATTCGAAACGTTTTGATTCATCATGGGCTGAATTGGGTCAAGCCGCATTGCGTTGATTTGAGAAGAATTTAGATTGAAGTACATGTGAGTTGAGTCGAACCTGAGGAACCGTTGGGTGCACAAATTAGCACGGGCGTGCCGTGAGGCTGGGGCGGGCTTGCTGAGGGGGGTCACGGCAGCGCTTCGGGGCTGCGGGCGGCTGACACAACGCGCCCGCCGCAGAGCAGGGCTGGGCCACATCCGGGCAAGCAGGGGAGCCCCCGAGCCCGGCGCCTGCCGCCTTCCCCCCAAAGAAACGCCACGCGCCCTGCGCACCTGGCGCCGGCGTCTGCGAGGAGGCTGGGGAGGCCGATCGCGTGAATCGGCAGGCCCTCCAGCGCGTGCAGCAGCGCCGCCGCCAGGTGGCCCTGCCCAGCGCCCTCCGGCCCGCATATGAGCAGCCGCGGCCGCCGCACCAGCGACAGCGCGCTCGCGCCGCCCGCCGTTGGCCGCGCCGCAGCAGCTGCAGCAGCCGCGGCCGCGCCGGGTCCGCCGCAGCCGTCCTTGTCTGCAGCCAGGCAGGCCTCGACAGGAGGGAAGCTGCCGCGCAGGCGCGCGATGAGGACGGCGAGCGGCTCGGCCAGGCAGGGGGCGACGACGGCGCCCAGCGGGCGTGCGTGGGAGGACGCCGCGCGGTGCGCCGCGGGGGTGATGCCTGCAGTACCAAAAGCATGAGGGGCGTGGAAATGCATTCTCACTTTTTGTTCAGATGGCCCCAGGCAGCGGCATGCGGCCCCGTCAGCCACACCGGCGCCGCTGCACCCCCGGCATCCCCGCTGTCTTCTGGGCTGTGCCAGCAGCCAAGAGCCGCGCCGGCGGGCCCACCTGCCGCCTGCCGCCACGCCCGGGCGTGCACGGGCTGCCACATTTTGGCCCCCTGCCACAATCGCCCCCCCCCTCTACCATGGGTCACCACGACACACTCACACCTCAGCGGCTCCCTTACAAGGCTCCGCAACCACCCCCCCCACACACACACGCACATATACACACACGCACACAAACACACACGCAAACAAACACAAACAAACGCTCACACACACACAAAATCACGCGCGCACACACACTTAGTCGCCAGCACTCGTGCCCAGTCAGCCCCAGCACCGCCCCCCCCACCCGCGTGAGCAGCCATGAAGTCCTGCCGCTCCACCAGGACCGCGTCAGGCTCAACCAGCAGCTTCTCGTCGCTCTCGTAGATCTGGGGGTAGCGGCGCCGCAGCGCGGCCAGGGCCGCCTCGGTGCAGAGCGCCTTTGGGGGGCAGGGTGCGAGGGCAGCGCAAGGGCGGGGCTTGGCGGGCGCAGGCGCAGTTGCGGGGAGGGGGTTTGTGTCGGGGCCTCGGCGAATTGCAAGGGCTCCTGGCGGCGGCGCTCGGCGCCCTGGCGGGCAGGGCGGCGGCGCAGGCAAGGAGGGGCCTCGTGCGCTGAACGTTTGCACGTGTGGTGGGGTGCGCGTTCACATTAGTGTGTGCTCGACAGAATGTGCGTTTGAGTGTCTCTAAGGCATAATACATTAGTGTGTGCTCGACAGAATGTGCGTTTGAGTGTCTCTAAGGCATAATACACGAATGTCTGCGCACGTAGCATGATACACATTCATATGCAGCCGTATTCATATCTGGACATATGCATGTATGCTGCGGCGACCCCGATTCCTCAGTGTGTGGCCGTGGCGCACCTTGATGTCTGCGCCGCAGTAGCCGACGCAGGCGCCCGCCAGCTCCTCCACCAGGTCGTCGCGGGGCGCCTGCCGCCACGCCGCAGTGTGGATGCGCAGGATAGCGCGGCGCGCTGACCTGGCATCGGGGGAGGGGGAGACC